AGACAATGAGAACTAAAGAGTTAGCATTGGAAAAGAGAAACTGAGACAAGTTCTTAGGCTCAGGAGGAAGAACAGAATTAAGAGCAGCAGAAATAATTGGTGTGCTTAGCCTGTACTGCCTGGATGAACACCATTTTGGTAGCTATTAAAAATTTAATCAAGTATTAGATGATACTGTTCTGCTTTTTGCTTTGTTTAGGAAATGCTGTGATTATCAAGCCTTCTGAACTCAGTGAAAATACAGCCAACATGTTGGCTAAGCTCCTCCCCCAGTACTTGGACCGGGTAAGAATGCCTTGACCGTCTTCAGAACAGCTCTTTGTTGTGGGAAACGCCCATTTGACCTCTCTTCCAGTACATGTCATGAACGGCTGGGGATCAGTTTGCAGTTTCCTTAAGCCTCCAACAGTTGGCTTAATAAAAGAAGTTGGCTCCAAAAAAAACTTAGAACAGCTCAGCTATTGTGTTTATGCAATACATTTGAGCCAATGGCTTCATGGGCACCCCTGCTACTTATAGATCCTCTTCTGCCTTTGGCATTTGTTTGATCTAGCGGGGTTTTAGGTGTGTTCAGTTGATGAATTATTTAAGGAGGGACTAGCACAGCGCTGGGTCCTGACCACCTCTTAATGGAATGTGACTGTATAAGAACACTTCGCTTTAAAATGGTCCTGTTTGTGGCATGAAGCTACGGGGAGGAAATGGCCTCCCAAACCAGAGCTGTCACTCGGCTTAGTGCTGGCATTTACGAGTGTCAGCGTTGAATAGGGCAGATGCGCTCCCGACCACAGCTGCTCCGTCTCTGTTCGAGTCGGAGGTCCTCCCGCCAGCGTCACGGAGCTGGGACTGTTGAGTTCTACGTGGAATGGCTGCAGGAAGGAGGCCTCATTTCACTGCCTTTGGGAGGCAGCTTGGAAATGTCACACTTGTAGTTGTCCACGTGGGTTTATACCAGGGGTGGGCAAACTTTTTGACTCGAGGGCCACAATGGGTTCTTAAACTGGACCGGAGGGCCGGAACGAAAGCATGGATGGAGTGTTTGTGTGAACTAATATAAATTCAAAGTAAACATCATTACATAAAAGGGTGCGGTCTTTTTTTTCAATAGTTTTATTCATTTCAGACAGGCCGGATCCGGCCCACGGGCCATAGTTTGCCCACGGCTGATTTATACTCTAACTCCGGCCCTTGGAATAACCACAGAACAGGTTTGTTCTCATAGCTGTGGTTATCTAGCTCTGAAGGATGGTGAGAACAGAGATGTCGTGGGTTGAGTAGGATTAGGAACCAGAGGACAGAGGTTGCGGGCCTGCTTCGCCCCTCAGCAGGGGTAAATTCTTCACTGACCGTCCAGATGGGCATAGTAAGGCCCACCCTGCCTCACTTCGCTGCTGGGGCGTCAATCACACATGCTCTGTAGATTAAGCCATCTGCAAGTTAAAACGAAACAGTCGGGCAGCTGAACTCTGAAGTGAATGAGGACTAATGAGCCCTCCTAATTAGCAGGAGACCTAATTAGTGGAAACATGAGGTCCACAAACCAACTTTACTTCATGCCAGCACCTCAGAATGTTCTGAACACATCTCCCTCCGTCTTCCTCGTCATCTGTCCTCTGTCGTTGCCCTTCATGTTGTTTTTCAAAACGCACCTTCTTTCGTAGTAGTGCCGATGACAGCACAGTCCTGTAAGGGCTCAGCCCAAAGCCGGGACTTCTCCCAGTAACAGACGAGGAAATTGCCAAAAACACGTCAGCTAGTAAGTCACAGAGCGAAGAGTCGGTCAGATCTGGCCTCAGAGCGCGTGTTCCGCCGGCCGCGCTCGGCACCGCAGTCCTCGGCAGGCAGTTGTGTGGTTCCTACCACGGGCTAAGCTAAGCCCTGCGCTGTGCTGTGGAGAGGGAATGCTCAGGTTCAGACATTAATGGGGACCTGTTCCACAGTCATGCGTAGCAGCCGCTTTTTTCTCACCTAAACCCTCAACTTGCACAGTCCCCATCTTACACATTTCCCTGGCCCAGTCCACCGTTGGCTCTTTGTGTCTTCATTGCTGAGCTCATGTAGAAAACACTGCACTCTCCAGTCAGTCCCTGTGGGTGATGGTTCTCAGATGCCATTGGACTCCGCCCCACCCTTGTCCTCCTTCTGCTCCCTCTTCTATCCTCACAAGGCGGTCTCCATCTTTTCTCGGTTTTACTAAATATTATATGTCCATGTTGAAGAAGCTGCTTGTTAGGCAATTGGATTAATTTGGCAATGCAAATGTTTATCTTTCTTTTTTTTTTTAAAGATTTTTTAAAATTTGAATTTAGAGTGAGAGAGGAAGGGAGAGGGAGAGAAACATTGATCAGCTGCTGCCTGCATGCCCCCCCAGCCCCGGGGGGGCGGGGGTTAAAGCCCTGACTGGGAATTGAACTGTCAGCTTTGAGGTGGGTAGGACAACCCACCAGCTGAGCCACACCGGCCAAAGCTGTTTTTCTTTCTTTAAGGACCTGTATGTTGTGGTGAAGGGTGGTGTTGAGGAAACCACCGAGCTCCTGAAGCAGCGGTTCGACCACATTCTCTATACTGGAAGCACTGCGGTGGGGAAGATTGTCATGGCGGCGGCTGCCAAGCACCTGACCCCTGTGACGCTGGAGCTGGGCGGGAAGAGTCCGTGCTACATCGACAAAGATTGTGACCTGGACGTCGCCTGCAGGTGAGCTGGCTCCCTGGTTGGGGGGCTTTCCCAACACAGAGGGGACTTTTCCTGACAGGTTGATGTATCCTCTTGGCTGAGAGACATGAAGCTTTGGTGGTTGATGTCCTCATGGGTAACAGAATTCTTGCACAAACTGTCTCTTCTTGCCACTGCCAGCAGCGATGCGCAGTAGGTCCTCACTCCCTAGGAATCCCGGGAGGGGTCTTCTGTACTGAGATTATAGATCTACAAGAAATTCTACTTTCCTGCTGGTCGGTGATCCAGGAAGTAGGTAATCCGAAGTATTGTGTATGCCTAATAAAATGCTGACATTCCCAACAGAAAGGGCATTCTGTCCACTTCTTAGCTGAGTTCCTTTGTTGATAAAACCAGTATTACTTATCTTTTAACTTAGATTAGCATTTTGCAGCTGGGAACTAGAAAACAAAAGGTGTCAGGTTCTCTCTGCTAACTCAGGTTTCGCTAGCAGGAAGGACCAAAACCCAGAGGTGTGTGCTCAGAGTGGTGTGGGTCCTCTCCCTCAGAGACACGGGGCGAAGGGGAGGTAATGAGGCTTCGCTGGGGTCCGGGCTGCCTTCGTGAGCAGAAGTCTGCTTTTTTGCCAGAATATGGGACCCTCAGGTGGAGAATGTTCGTGTCCCAGACTTTGACCCATCCGTGGGCACAGCTTCCAGGGGAGTGGCTGCTGCTCTGCGTGCCTGAGCGTCCTGCCAGCGGGACTAAAGCCGCAGCCAGGCGGGCAGAGCCGGTGTGGAACTCCTGCCTTCCCGCATGTCCTTTTGGCTGGAGTGGGGAGAGGGTGGAGGGCTACTTCTCTCTTTCCTGTAGCAGGCAGCGGTTTCTCCGCGCGCCAAGGACTGTTCCCGTGAGTTGGCATGAGAATGTCCCCGCTCCTTAGAGCACTTCACACCAGTTGGAAAATGCATTCCAAGTTCCAGCCAGCTGATTTAGAGACGAATTCTTAAAATATTTTTATTTTTATAAAGATGGCCAAATGCCCTGGCTGGTGTGCTCAGTGGTTAGAGCAGCAGCCTGCGCATGGAAGGGTCACAGGTTCGATTCCCAGTCAAGGGCAGGTACCTGGGTTGCAGGTTCGATCCCTGGCCCTGGTTGGGGCGCGTGCATGGAGGCAGTCAATCGATGTGTCTCTCTCACATCGATGTTTCTCTCTCTCTCTCTCTCTCTCTCTCTTTCTCTCTCTCTCTCTCCTCCCACTCTCCTTCCTTTCCACGTTCTCTAAAAATCAATGGAAAAAATATCCTCTGGTTAGGATTAACAATAACAACAAAAGATTACCAAGTAAGTGTTTGCACACATGTTAGTTGAAAACATTCAAACAACACAAAAGATGTAACAAATGAAGAGTAGACTTAATCCTGTGGCTCTGGGCTTTTCCCCTTCAGACGCATAGCCTGGGGGAAGTACATGAACTGCGGTCAAACCTGCATCGCTCCCGACTACATTCTCTGCGAACCATCTCTCCAGAGTCAAATCGTGCAGAAGATTAAGGAAACCGTGAAGGTGAGTGTGTAACATGTCTGACTCCGCTGGTTTCATGAAGATGAGTCAGATCAGCTGTTTGCAGGCAGTATCCTTATACCCTCCCTTCCCCGGGAAAATCCCGGTAGTCTGTGTGACTACGTTAACTTACTGGCTAATTAAAAGTGCTCCCTTTCCGTGGAGTGTCTGCCGGGAGGAAGGGTAGGTTGGTGTTACGTCCACTTGTCTAATTGATTTGTTGATGGATAAACTGGTTAGTTGTGGTACATGCTTTAAAACAGCAATTTCAGCCTTTTTCATCTCATGGCGCACAAACAAATTACTGAAATTCTGCAGCACACCAAAAACTATTTTTTCCCCCAATTTGATGAAAAAAAATAGGTATAGTTTTGATTCGTTCACACTGGACGGCTGTTGTGTTGGCTGCTGTCATTTTTTTATCTGAAAAGCTAAAGGGAAAGATGTCAGTGCCCCTGACTAAATAGTCGGGTATTGCATGTTTTAAAAACGCTGGCTGCACACGGGTAAATAACTATGTGTGTGGTTTTGAGAGAATGTTGCCAGGCCTTTGTGTGTAATCAGGTGGCATAGTGGTCATGCTAATTAAGGTTGCCGGTGGTTGTGTATGTAGAGTGTTTGCAAGAGTGAGTTAATCAACCACCTATTTCTAGTATGTTCTTGACATGGTTATTGGTCTTCCAGGTGTTTAAAGTAAAGATCTCTAGCGAGGAAATCAGGAGGCTGTATGGGAGTGGCCTCAGTGCCTTGAAGAAACACATGATTTGGATTGAAGAAAGGAATGGGATAGACCAGTGTGATGAGTTCCCCAGCGGGAGGAGTCACTAAGCCCCCTGGGTGGGAGAAATTACTGGAACAATCGTTGTTCACTTGACAGGTGCTAACTGAGCACTGAACAGAAGGGTCAAGAACAGAGAGCACTGCTTACGATCTGAGAACTAACCTGTACACCAGGAATTTAGGGAAGTGCAGTGCCCCAGGCAGGGCCACTGGGTCTCAGGTGCCAAGGGGCTTGGACAGAGGTGATGGGACGGAAGATGGAGCCAGACGAGGAGAAAAAGAAAGGAGCATTGGCCAGACTCGGGGAATGTGAGATGGCAAAGAGGGGATTAAAAATCCCTGTGAGACGATGAGTCCTTGAGAATCGGAAGTTGTGCTTTGTTGAGAATGGTGACGAACTTGGTTTCAAAGGAGTAAGACCCCGTGGCCTTTGAGACATTTATTCTCTGAGCACAGTTCTCAACTGAGGTCCCCGGGGAGCCATGTAGGAACAGTTCCTGGTCCTCACCCTCCAGCAGTGGCTCAGTTGGTCTAAGGTGCCACCCGCATGGAGAACCGTGGTTGGTGGCACGGGGTGGGCAGGAACATACATGTCCGCAAGCTGCTGGGATGATGTTTGTTTGGGGGCGGGTTTGTCCGATTTGAGAGGACGTTTATGGAACCTGGGGCAGTGAAACAAGGGGCGCTTAGGAGAGAGGCAGCAGCAGGAGAGCCTGGGCTGGGCTGCTCTGGCTCTCTGGGGAGTCAGGCAAAAGGGGCCTTGGAGACAGGTTCAGGGGTCCCCTGGTTGCAAGTCTCCTGGGGTCCCTTGGAGTTTCGGAGGTGCCTGCCTGAGCGGGAAGGAAGGCGTGGCAGCTCCTTGCTGGAGAGTCTTGCCCAGACCTGAGCTGTGTGTGGAGGTGGGCAGCACTGCTCATTTTGATTTGAGAGTAAGCTGAGAGCTGTCATGACGCTTTGAAGTGATGCAGCAATTCAGTCATTTCGTGTTTGTTTTACATAATAAATATTGATTCTGTGGCCTTAGAGGTTTTTGCCTTGTTCAGGTGACTGGGCTTTATTTTGATCTGAGTGGTTGCCCTGTCATCTGTGACGGGTGGGAATGCCCGTCTAGAGAACATGGAAAACGATGGAAAAGCACACAGCTCAGCCACCTGCATGCAGAGGGCTGGATGGTAAATACTCTAGGCTTTGCAGGTCCTGGGGTCTCTGCTGCAGCCACAGCTCCGTGCAGGGAGCAGCCGCAGCCATAGGGAAACGGTCCTCAGATGGAGCAAGACCTTCTACCTGCTCTCGCGGCCCAGCTCGGGCTCGGCCCACAGGCAGACGCCAGAGGTCCCTCTGACCCGGAGACCGTGGAGAATGACAAGCATGTGCGGCTGCTTGAACTCCTGTCCTTGACGTGCCAAGAGGCCTGGATGTGCCTCGATGGCAGCTTCTCCGTGACTTGCAGTGGGTGACACCTGATGAAGCCATTATAAGTTGGAAATATAAGTGGAAGTTGGTTTGGCACCTAACCTGCAGAACATCCCCGTTTCGGGCAGCGGAGCTTAAACGCGCTCAGCACTCACATTAGCCTGCTCTTGGGCACAGCCACCCGCTGCCGCTGCCGCTGCGGCTGCCCAACCAGAGCTAGTGCACGCCGCACCTCACCGGCCCGGGAAAAGGTCAAAGTTCCAAGTACACTTTCTGCTCAACTTGTGTCACTTTTGTGCCGTCAAAAAGTCAAAAGACCTAAAGTTGAACCCTCAAAGTTGGGAACAGTCAGTACCATTAAAGCACTTGGTGGGGGGAGATGTGATGATATAAAACCAGATCGATTTCTGAGCATGAGTGGATTTTGTACTTTTAAAGAAATTGAAATATGGGTCTTTTGTGACAGTTAAACACTATTGTTTTAAATAGGAATTTTATGGAGAAAATATAAAAGAATCTCCTGATTATGAAAGGATCATCAATCTTCGTCACTTTAAGAGGCTCCTGAGTTTGCTCGAGGGACAGAAGATCGCTTTTGGTGGGGAGACGGATGAGGCCACGCGCTACATCGGTGAGGGGAGCCCCTTCCTCACGGGAGCGGGCAGCTGGACAGTGTTTACGGACACTAAGCAAACAGATATTTAGTGTAAAACAAGCGTGAGGGCTGCTTCGGGTAAGCTGTACAGACGATCACACACACACTCACGTTTATACCAGGTGTGCTGCACTAGCTTTTCTGTATTGACGCATATTTTTCTTCCTAACCGCCCCGAGAAGCAGAACTCTAATTACTTCCAGTTTACGCCTGGAAAAACGGCTCAAAGAAATAGCTGAGCCGTCACTCCACAACCAGCCACTGGCAGCGCTTCCGCAGAAATTATTTTTTGACCTGTTGTGCTTGACATTATTTGTTCACCTTCTGTGGCTTTTATTTCCTGCCATAAATCTGTATTGGTTTTGAATTTTAAGCACCTTTTCCAAAGTAACATATAACAGGAATGACACATTGAGTTGGCAGAAAAGCTGCCCGGACCAGCTTTTCTGCTCTTACCAAGTAGGATGCTGTGCATTACAAAACCCACTTCAAACTCACAGGGCTCAACCCATCAGGAAGACTGTTCCAGGATAAGGAGCGGCTGAGTGCCGCCTGTGAATTCAGTGGCTCAGTAACACCTCAGGAAGCCCCCGTGGTTGGTCTTTCTGTCCTCCATCCTCAGCGTGCTGACTTGCCCACCACTCGGCTAATCAGTGGCCAGGGGGACGGTCATTCATGATTAGCTCAGACTGGTCAGGAGCTTTCCTCTGACCTGGAGTCGGGGTCACCTGATCTGAGCTCATGGCGATGCGAGGAGGGTGGACACCCACATCGAACCCGTTCTCCGACCCGGGGGAGCACGGATGGGGGTGCACATGGACACCCCTGAGTGCTGGCAGAACCTGGTCGGAGACGAGGAGTCAGGGAGGCGCACAGTCGCTGCTGTCAGGTGCTTCCTTCGTAGTTGACCGTCCAGCGTGTGACAGGTCCCTGGGGTGTGCTGATGCGCCAGGAGGCTGGGGTGCTCGCCCAGCTCCTTCCGCGTCCACAGTGCCTCCCTGTGCCCCTGCCCGCAGTGGGTGGAGCTCTGAGCTGAGGGTGAGGGAATCTTGGCCATTGAAGTATGTTTTCTTAACGTGTGGCCAAGGGAATGCAGGTCAGTGAGGCTGCAGGAAAACACTCGTAAGAAGTGTTGTGACCCAGAGGGGCTCTCTGCCCCCGGAGCTGTGCACGCAGCCTCCCGTTGGGCGTGTGCTGTGACCGGGTTAACCATGGGCAGAATGCATCCAGGCACAGCTCTTGCTCTTGGTTTGCATGGTGACCCCGAGTCGGGTGCTGGCAGACGTTCAGTTGCACAGGCTCGTCCCTTACTCGGGGCTTTCTGGGCGGGTCCCCCGGGGAGGGAAGGGATGGCGAGGTGGCCTGCTGAAACGGTGGG